AAAAAAAAACATGCGAGCACGAAACCGGAAATGTAACTAGAAAAAAAAAGAAAAAAAGAAAAAGCTGAACCGTCAAAACATAAACAGAGCAGGCAATCTTATGTGAACGCAGCTAGCTCGCAATATAGTCTGACTTTTCAAAAAAGCTTTATGCACGCATTCCTCATGTCGTGTGTTTTTCGTCATAGAGTTCCTAGTCAAGGCACTTAGCTCATTTGCTGAGTAGCGAGGTGGAGCAAATAAATCTGCAATAAAGATTAAGACTAAACTAAGAAGTACGCCTCGTCGGGCCTTCGACTACAGGTAACGCTAGCTGTGCTAGTTAGCGAGTATAAGCAATGCTAGCCGCTTGTTTGCATTTTGACCAGTAGCTGGTTAGTTGTGCAGCACAACTTAGAAAACTGTGTTTTAGTTTCGACATTTGTTAGCCTCGAGTTTGCTAGGTAGCATTAGCTTATGGTAATAACTGTCAGGCAGTCAAGCAGTTCTTTTATACAGGACAATACATAGTTAAATATCACAAAGCAAAACAGGCCCGTGATTCGGCTAACAAACGACTTCGTTTGTTTATATCTTTACATGCAGCGGTGTATAGCTTGTAAAATTAGCCAGACTGTTAGTTTGGAAGCTACGGGGCTAACAGGTAACTTGTACCCTATTGCAAATAGTGTCAAGTCGCTATTTGGCAAGAGCTTATCAAATGAAAGCCGTGGCGTCGCCTCGTTTATAGCACACAAACTGTCCAGTCTGATTTTGAGTAGTTGTCAATGCACCATTAATTTTGTTTTTGTGTCCAACACGAGGTTGTACCTCGGGTCGACGCAGGACTTCACAGATACAATGGCTGAGGCTGACGGCAAATCCACGGTGCTTAACGGTAAAACAAGTCAGTTTATATACTAATGACAGCAGTGCATGGTGTCATACTCCGCAGCAGTCATCAGAGTTCATCAGAGAAAATGTTTGGCTTCAATAGGTGGCTCTGAAGAAAAGGAGCCTGGAGAAGACCGAAGCAAAGAGGGGCAAACACAGTCTTCCTCTCTAAATGGTAACTCTTATAGTTTTAGTATGGTGGAAAATTTTCATAATGAGTTTTTCCTACTATATATGACTAACCATCTACATATTTGTCTTTTTCTTTATGTATTTTATGAATCTCCCTATGTGACAGTGTTGCTTTAACCTTATATTGGGTGTTTCTATTTCCATAGCTCCCAAAGAAACAGCTGAAGCATCTGGAGACAAATCTATGCCAGATGTAGAAGGAGAGACGGGCACAACCAGGGAGGGAGAAGAGGATGAAGATACAGACAGCATGGACGGCAGCGGCCTCTACTCTTTAACTGAGGATGGTGAAAGGGAGAGCGAGGGAGGAAGGCGAGAGAAGGCCAAAGAAAAAGATGGTGGGAAAAGGGCAGCTAGAAAGAGAAACAGACCTGGCGGCGGCACTAACCACTCCTCAAGTTCAGATGATGATGACGACGACGATGATGATGATGAAGAAGAACAGAAAGATGATGATGACGACGACGATGATGATGAAGCTATGGAGGCATGGCTCGGGGCAGAGCTCCGTGACATGCGTGGTCCTGTGTGGCGTGCAGTACCCTCGCTGCGCTCCAGAGAGATCGGCAGGGACTCACACCAGTTTGTGAGGCGTGTGTGTGGGGCTCGTGGCCTCGTGCAAAGGCTGGAGCTCCAAGGCCGATTAGAGAGGCATACAGGTTGTGTCAACACATTGCATTTCAATCCATCAGGCACACGCCTGGCATCAGGCAGCGATGACCTGCGCGTGGTGATCTGGGACTGGGCCATCCGTCGTGCTGAACTGGAGTTTGACAGTGGACACAAGAGCAATGTCTTTCAGGTAAAACACAAAAATAGGACTACAGTAGAGGTTCATTATTAGTTAGTCCTTTAGTTATTTTTCCAAATAAATGTTAGTAATAGTAATGTGTTAGTGTTCGATACAGCAAAAGGAAAAATCTGTGGGGGTTTTTTAATGTTCTAAAAACTTCAGTTTCCTTCAAGAGTTAATAAGATGTTTAAATTATTGAGTAGTTTTTTAATATTCTCTTCTTCTCTTATTTGATTGTTTGTTGTTGAGACAAAATAAGTAGCTTTCTGGGACTTTTTCTTATAAGAAGCTATAATCATTATACCACAGAAACAGTGATAAAAAAGTAGAATGTGGAAACAAGACTAAGTTAGAGACAAGCAGTAAATTGCTATTTGATGATTTATTTATTGTTTTTATTATTTTATAATAATCCATTATTAAAAAAAACCAAACTTACAAGACAGATTGAAGTGACTAATTCATGAGCATAATTTAATCAAGTTAAATTGTGGTTATAAAATGCATGATTGGGCTACCCTTGGCTTTAATTTAGGCAAAGTTCCTGCCTCACAGTGGGGACTCCACCTTGGCCATGTGTGCTCGTGATGGTCAGATCAGAGTGGCTGAGCTTTCTGCCACACAGCGCTGCAAGAACACGAAACGGGTTGCACAGCATAAAGGCGCTGCACACAAGGTCTGTGAGAGGAAATCTTTGTCCAGTGGTGTTTAAGACTCTTAGAGACAGCTGAATTGATATCATATCAATTTTTTGTTTTGTATTTTTTAGCTGGCCCTTGAGCCAGATTCACCTTGCTCCTTTCTGTCAGCTGGAGAGGATGCTGTTGTATTTGGTATTGACTTGCGTCTAGACCGCCCTGCCAAGTAAGAGTCAAGATTTTTTATTATCATTATGTATTCGCATAACTGAATTCTGTGCAATGGCTCTCAGCTAAGTACTATTAAGTTTCACATTCAGCTAGTTTTGTCACAGTGAGTGTAGAGTGAGACTTGCTGTGGATTGAAAAAACTGTCTTGCGCACCATGTGAGCAAAACACATAAACAGATAAAAAAAATTTAGGTTGATCAGTGGTAATACTGGTGTTCTTTTGTGTCTCCTTCTATCTTTGTGGTAGTAAACTGGTGGTTGTAAAGGAGGGTGATAAAAAAGTGGGGCTGTACACCATCTTTGTGAACCCAGCAAAGACACACCACTTTGCTGTTGGCGGGAGAGATCAGTATGTGAGGTATGAACCAGGGAATAGTAAAAATGCTTTTTTCCCCACTCTAAAGAATCCATTATCATTGTGGTATGATACAATTTTGTCACTTAAATGTTATTCTTTGACTCTTTTTCTCTTCTGACAGTATTTTGTTTTCACTTTCTTTAGGATCTATGACCAGAGGAAGATTAATGAAAATGATAACAATGGTGTACTGAAAAAGTTTTGTCCCTCACATCTGGTATCCAGTGAGTCTAAAACCAACATAACCTGCCTTGTGTACAGTCACGATGGCACAGGTAAAATAAGTTTTCTCATTCTTTTCTTATTCTATTATGAACATTTTTAGAAATATTTCTTAAAAATAAGGACACAGACCCTTGATAATTCCTCGACCTAGTCTTTTTTTTTCTTTCCTTTTTTTTTTTTTTAGTTCAAACCTCTTCCCTTCTTGTGTGATGTGATGCAACCACTGTGCAATCTCAGTGACATTGAAATAGAACTAGGAGTTAGCTCACTGACTAAAATTCTAGGATTTTTCTTCTTCTGAAACGTGTATCTTTTGTAGAAAACCAATAAGGTCAGATAAAGTGCCAATTACACCAATTTATCAACTTTTGGCTTGGCATATATAAATGATGTGTGTATAGTCAAATGATATGAAAGTCATGACTAACTTCTGCCTTTATTGCATTAAAGGAAATTAAGCAAATGGCTGTTTGACATTTTCTGTATGTCCAGAGCTCCTGGCTAGTTACAATGATGAAGACATCTACTTGTTTGACTCCGACCACAGTGATGGGGCAGACTATCTCAGGAGATATAAGGGTCACCGCAATAATGCCACAGGTACTACTTTTTAAAATTATTTTAAATAAGCTGTATAAGGTATAGACAACTCTACAAAATAAAGCTGTCAGCAGGTCATTTTTGAGTTTCTGGCATTGATATAATACCGTCCTCTTGCTCACAGTGAAGGGGGTGAATTTCTATGGGCCATGCAGTGAGTTTGTGGTCAGTGGCAGCGACTGTGGGCACATCTATCTATGGGACAAATACTCTGCTCGTATTGTCCAGTTTATGGAGGGAGACCGAGGAGGAGTGGTGAGTCAGAGTGGGAAAGTACCACAGATTTTTTTTGAATGAGACAACTTTGTAAGACCCTTTAGATCAGCGGTCCCCAACCCCCGGGCCTCGGACCGGTACCGGTCCGTGAGTCGTTTGGTACCGGGCCGCGATAGTTGAGGCTCAGGTCTGAAATGTATGGTTTTCAGGGTTTTTATCATTTTTCAGTGTTATTTTGTTATTGTTTTTATCGTTAACTTGGTGTTCCTGAGTCTTTTCGCGTGTGTTATGAATAAATCTTCTTTTTTTTTGGTACAGATACTAGTTTTATTTTGTTGTATTTATCCGCGACACCTTAAAGGCCGGTCCGTGAAAATATTGTCGGGCATAAACCGGTCCGTGGCGCAAAAAAGGTTGGGGACCGCTGCTTTAGATGTTGAAGGGTTCACTCCAATAACTTGTTTTTAGTAGCAATTTGCAGCATCAGACTTATGTATTTATACTTTTAAGTTTTCATTTTTATATATAAATTAGAACATCAATGTGTTATCTGCTGTACGTTTGACCTTTGAAAACCACAGGTGAACTGTTTGGAGCCACATCCACATCTGCCAGGTATGGCTACCAGTGGGCTGGATCATGACATCAAACTGTGGGCCCCCACAGCTGAAACCCCCACAGGACTCAAGGGTCTCAAAGAGGTATTGTATCCTGTTTTATTGTGTGAATTCAGACAAATGAATCCTTTACAATGATGTATTTGTGATATTGCAGATACTCACACAGATTTTTAATGAATCCAGTTTAAGATTTTATCTAAACTACTCAAAGTGAAAACGGAAGTAAATGTGCCCCAACACATTTGCCTGTTTGACTGTAAAACCTAATGTGTACAGACCTAATTTCATCTGTACAGTTGCTATTTATGTG